TCCATGTCGATTTATGCCTTGTCTTTGTCACATCAAATGTGTCAATCTATATAGCCAAGGTGGAGAAGACACATTGTGAATTAAAAACAAAATGTATCAGTCTCATAACTACAATGCACTTTACAATAAAACTCAATTTCCACGAATGAACAACATGCAAATCTTAAATCTGGCATGTTCAGATATCTTGATTTATTGGCCCTATAATTTGGTTTCTTCACCAAAAACCAAAAAGCCTATTTCACAAGTACCCAACGTTAAGTACATTAAAGCACCTAAAGTTTCCAGTAACAGTAAGAAAATCATATGAGTCTTGAAATTGCTTTCATCAAAGTCATCGGAAATCAGGATGCTCTTCAGCATCCTCATCTGGAGGAAAAGTAATTAATGTCAGTCAGATTCCAGAGGGTGTCAGCAGGGGTGGGGGGATACACCTTTCGAGTGGGGAGCTATTAGTTGCAATAAATCACCGCTGACGCCCACTGATCCAGATGGTCTTTGTAGACTCTTTCTCTTTTCTATGGACTTTGAATCATCATCTCTCATGAGCGGGATTCAGAAGCAGAAACTTTCACCAAACTATAAACACTGATTAAACTTCTTTTTTTTTCCTTGCTTGTAGAAAGGTTATTCAACCAGTTTCTTCTAAGAGTTTATGAACCATAAATTTATCTGACTGAAGTATCTTGTTGAATATATTCAACTCATTGCATTAGTTGATGGTGGGTTTCGTAATATTTCATCATTAATGGACTTAATTCTTTGGGCGATCTACAGCAAAGAATTATCTGTTTGCAATATAAATAATCTGTATCTTAAATCTTACTCTGATACAGAGTTATGAGGTTCAGTTAAGGTTTATTCAGGATTTATTGCTGCGACGATTCCTCTGTTGTTTAAATTTGAGTTTACGTTTCCCGGTGAAGTTTGTAAGAAGTAATGAAAAATAAAATTCATACTCTTTTGAGCTTTTAGCATTTTAAATTTCTGTTTCACTATGGAGAGCTATTGTTAAATAAAGGGTACTTGAACTTTTAACATTTTAAAATTATATTTTAGAGTGAAATCGATATGAATTCATGTAAAATAAAAATGCCTATGCATTTTAACCTATAGCAGTTTAAATAAATATTTCACAGAGAAATATGTAACCTACCTTCTTAAATAGAATAACATTTAAAAATAGTACATTTAAATATAAAGTATTTTAAATTCCACAGTCGAGTCTGTACGAATTCATGTAAAATATAAATGTACTTAAAGCATTTTAAATTTAAATTGCACACGTTTTGAATTATATTTCACTGTATCATTAACATGAATTTGCATAAAATAAAATGCATTTGAGCCTTTAGAATTTCGAATTATAATTCACATTCTAACGTATACTCTATGGGTATTTTTGTGGGTCAAAATGTAAATGCAATCGAACTTTTATCAATTTTCTAGGGAAGTCTATAAATAAAATGCTTAGATATCTGAATTGCTTACATTTAAAATTCAAATTGATAACAGATATCTAATTATTAATTTTGGAGAAAAAAAATATAGTTTTAAAAGATAAGTTAAAAAGGAGTTAAGTAGGACAGTTATCAACTTTCAGCTTTATCGATAGATTTTATTGCAATTATTTTAATGCTTATTTATTTTACAATAAAAATAAGCGATTGAAAAATCTATTTAGCTAATGCCTTTCTTTTTGTAATACACCCCTGAAAGTTGAACATTATTCTTATCATTGTGTCTTAAACTTATCATTAAAAAGAATTAAAATGGATAATTTCTTTTTTTTGTTTGTTTAGATACTAAATATTCAAAATAATAAATCAAACATTTTAGTTGTTAACTACCCTGATAAAAAAATTGTTGCAACCTGAATTGATATATTCAAAACCAATCACAGGAGTATAATTTAAAAAAATAAAATGGAATATCTAAACTTGTTTAATATAATGTGAACGTGCATAAAATGTTGAATTATTCATGTTATTGTAACTTTATACGTATTATGTTGATTTGATTCAATATTTCTGTCTGAGGGCTTTTAACTAATGACGTCATACATTTATAAACTTTTTCGCATTTTTTTTTATTTGTTTCATTTTATGACCTAATCATGTGCGCAGTGAGTAAAGGTTTTAAACGCCAATTCCTCTTTCCTTTATTTGTGCTAAGATTTTTATAGTTAATTACTTTGAAGTTATTAACTATAGTTACTACTTAATTAATTAGTTTGCTAATACAAAAATTAATTAATTTGCTAATGGAAGGCAGTAACTAGAATTTATCAATTCTACATAATATTAATTTAAAAGTTTCTCTTAAGTTATTAAAAAATTGTATTGCTCTAAATTTTAAAATTTGATTTGAGCAAAACTTTGTTTCTTTTTAATCGTTTAAGATTTTATGAATTTAAAATTTTTTACTGCAACGCAATGTTTTAATTTTTTATGAATTTTTTTGTAGCTAAAAATACTTGTCTTCACAGTGTTTTCCTTTTTCTTTTTTTTAAATTTTACTTGTTTAATTTTTTAACCAAATCTTTAGTGTTGTGAGTGAAGTTTTTAAATATTAAACCTAATTCATCTTTACTTTCGTTCTTTTATTTGTTCTAAGATTTTTGCAGTTAATTAGTTTGAGTCATTGTTCAAAAATTAATAAATTTGTTGATAGTAGGTAATAATTATAATTTATTAATTCTAAACAATTTTAATTTAAAAGTTTCTGTTAAGTAATTAAAATAATTGTATTAGATTCAGTTTCAAAATTTTATTTGAGTAAAATTTTGTTTCTTTTCAATCATTTAGGACATTATAAATTTAAAAATATATACTTCAATTTAATTTTTTAATTTTTATTATTTATTTTATTTTATTTATTTATTCTTATTTGGTTTATTATTTATTCTTATTTATTTATTTATTTTTTTTTTTTTTTTGATTAAAGTATTTTTATTCACATCATTTTTCTTTTTCTTTTTTAACTTTCTTCTTTTTTTTTTTAGTAAATTAAAAAAATCTCTATTTCAAAGAAGAAAAAAAAACTTTTTGAATATTTTCATAAAATAATTTTTTATTCCTTTTACTTTTCATATAATTGTTAAAAGAAAAAAAAAAACTTTTTTCTACTGGTGTGTATTTAATCTAACTGCATGATCTCCATTTTCCTTGTGTGCAAAAAGGGAAAAAAACTTACAAAAGTCATTAACTTTTTTTCATTTCATACGAACACATTAAAAGGTTTCTTATTTTTTTCCTACTAAAATTCTCCCTACCCCAAATTCACTTTTTTCTGCGTAAAAAAAATATCTGCTTTTTATTCTTCCTACCATTATAAATTACATGTCTCCAATAATTATTGGTATAACTGACACCATGAAATATTATCCGTTAAAATAAATACATTATGCAAAATTTTTTCCCCGAAAAAAAATCCCTTTTTCTCCCTCTCGTTTGAAATTAATCGCGTTAAATTTAAGCTACAGAGTTTTCTAGAAATATGTATTTCCCAAGACTTTTTCCTCTTTTCATTTTCTTAAAACCTTTTTGTGACAAGCACGTTAACTTTTCTTTTTTTTTAATTTCTTGAAGAAAAAAAAATTTGTTTTTGAATCATAAATTTTGCAAAAGAAAGGTTGATTGGAAAAAAAAAACATTTCATTAGTTTTTGTCTTTTTAATTCTGACAGTGCAGTTAATGAAAGTTTTTTTTTCTAACAATTACTCAAAAAATGCTGACTGCATTCACTGTGTTAACTTTTTCTTATTAATGTTAATCTTTAAAAGGATTGGATGTTTGCACTTGAGAGTTTGCTAAAGCTAATTACTTTCTTTGGCATTTCTTTTTCTTTTTCAAATCTATGAAATATATAATTGTATTTTATTTTTTATTTCTAGTTTTTAAAACAATGGCAAGATTATTACGTTCTTTTTCATAAATCGAAGAAAGATCAAAGCCTTTTTCTTTTGTCATATGTCATCGTTACATATTTTAAAACTAATTAAATATGGACATGTGCAGAAAATATTTTAATTAAACTTTTAAAAATCACATGCACTTCGAGTTCTGTTATTTTTTACACTGATAAAATGATGAAATATGAAATTTTGTAACTTGATTTTTGCTGTGCAACTACATATACATTTGAGACGCAAAGCACAATGTGTCCCAGATGTATGTTCAGTGCTTTTGCAACCAAAAATACATAAAAACTCATCTCAAACTTATTTTATACGAATGAAAGCTTAAGAAATGTGCTAAAAAATGAATTCCTTCTAAATATCTCAAACTTTTTTTACTAACATCTGTTACTTTTTTTTCTTCCATTTTATTTTAGAAACATGTCATTAAACATGAATTTTTTAATTTCGCTAAATAAAATATGCATGCAAACATTTAGAGCAAATTGCTTGAGTTTATTTCATGAAGAACAAATTTTAAAATTTTCTTTGCATTAATTTTTAATTTAAATCAGTTTTTGTTAAAGAAAAAGAGCAAGATATTTCTTATGGAAAATTGTCAGGGAGGTGTCTAATATTTCAAAGAATCTTTCATTCACGAATTTCCGAAAAATTCTGGAAAGTTTCTTAAATAATATTCGAGTCTGAAAGCTTAAAATCTAAAAAATTCTGGTAAATAGGTAAACTAATATCATGTAGTTTGTTTTAGAATCTTAGATATTTTTACAAAAAAGTAGCTTCACTGAAATATTAAGTATTTCAGTTTTTCATTTTAATGCAGAAAATCTCCGTAAAAAAAATTCAAAATGTGACTGGAATTCGTATTACCGTAAGAAAAATAACAACCTAAAATTAACAGATAACAATCTAATATCATGTCAGATGCAAACTTAATTTCGAATTTATCTTCATTATAAATTTTTGTTTTAACTTAGTGCGAAAAACATTTTCATACATTTTCCAGTTTAAATAATTTGATCCATCTTGTTTGTTTTAATCTTATAAAACTTAATTAATCCTTTGTTTTTATTATTATTTTTAGCATCCCTATCCATCCGAAGATCAAAAGAAACAGTTGGCTCAAGACACTGGACTGACAATACTTCAAGTAAATAATTGGTAAGTTCTTTTACTCTTATAGATATTATATTTCATTCCATATAGGGTTCGTAAAGTAATGTCGTTTCTGCGCATTTGTCAGTTTCACTAGAACAGTAACGTAACAGTTACTACCAAAACATTCGCGATATTTTTCCAAGTGTGTCAGACGTTCGTAAATACCACAGCTGGTTTATTAACTTCAAATTCGAATTCTTTGATTTTTTTAACTCGTGTCGATCAAAAAGACCAATCCTGGGGCTCGCTCATCATACTGTCTTAATATTATGCCACTAGATTTACATTTATTCCGATCTTTACAGCATTTGTATGATGACCAAAATGACATCTTCAGATACGTTGCCCAATCATTTTTTTCCCAACCCGGCATTGAATATTTGCACGAAGGTGGCAAGAAATTATTGATAGCGAGGATGATTACAGCATGAATTAAATAAAAAGTTTTTAATCAGATTCCCCTCACATTTCAGATATATTACTTTTTGCACTCTGTTAGTGAACAAAAGAAGTGAATCTTTAAAAAATATTATATTTATTTTAAATTAGTTATTGACAACAAAATATTATCGAAAATGGTCTTTTTGGCTAAAGAATAATTATTATTTAATATTTTTATTTTTGGTATTCAAATTTTTCTAAAACCAAAACGTAGGACTTTCATAGGTGCCAATTCTGCTTAATTTTACACAGAGCAAAAACTTTACCAAAATCATTACCAAACTGCTTCGATGAAAATTATCCAACTTTTTGGTGTTCCCTTAGAGCACAGAAACGTGATAAATTTTACCATATTCTGAAAGTTTTGACCTTACTTCTTTACTTAGTGTAAGAAGACTGTAATTTTTTACCATCTACTAAATTGCAGATTTCTTCCTATTTTTACCAAGTATTTGAATAATTTGAAAAAATTTCTAAACATTCTTCCTATTATTGGAAGCCAATTCATCTTACTTCCAGAAAGAACTATTTTTATAAAAAATTTTTGGAAAATCTACATTTTTTCTTTTTTTACCAAAATATTTTAAAATTGCGAAATTAGCAAAAAATTCATCATGTGTTTATGGAGACTCCCTAGTTATTTGTCAACATAAAGTTCTTTCTAATATTAATTTTTAAGAGTTAATAATTTTTATTTTTGTTTTAATTTTTTTGCAATTTTCGTTTACTAATTTTACTTAGTAGAATCCCATTAATACAAGTTGATTCGTAAAACTTTTCTACAATTCGTTTACGTAGTATCCCCAGTAATGAAACTTTGATGTTGTTTTAGTTAGACGAGAATATTAATTCAAAGCTGAATTATGTTAGTTTCTTTATTTATTTCTTTTCCATCCTTACCTTCTTTTTTTTAACCCCATTTTCCCTTTTCTTCTGTTATTATTGTCAAGATGTGTATACGACTTAAATGCGATTTTAAAGAAAGTATAAGGGAGTAAAAAAAAATAAAAAAAAACTTTGCAGTCAAGTTTTAGCTTTGCAGTTTTTGACAAAAAGCTCCCTTTGTGTAGGGATCCTTAAACGCCAGATTATACGAACAGAGCGTTTTCAGACCTTTATTTTCAGGATTTGGGTCAGGCGTATACAGATTATTACGTTCTAAGAAAGCCCTGGAGAATTTTTTTTCGAAAACTCCTAATCCGATCTAAGGGGTGAGTACAGAGAATTGAAAACACCTTGAAACGATTGCCCTTAAGTTGCCTGGGACTTGTTTGTCGGGCTGTGAAAATCCTTCTTGCTATTCTAGGCACGTTCGCTTTCACTTTGTGTTCGATTTCGGATGCGGCCATCCCCCTTTTTTTTCCATCCCCCACGTCGTCTAAGAACTTTTATCCGGTTCTTATCAATTGAAATTTGAATGGCAATCAAAATTGTTTTTATAGTTTTGGTTTTTAATCCGCCTTTCCTAGCCTTTCTGCTGCTTTTAACTTAAGTAATTGTCTAGACTTTTAATTGGTTTTTCGAATTGATTCGAAAGGAACTTGAGGCAAAGGCGTGATCAGACGAAAGAGAGATAAATAGTTAAACGTTTCTATGTTATTACAGTCATAGTGAAATAAAAATGATTACAAATGCTTTTAAAGGAGAGTGCTGATTATCAGTACTGGTCAAAATATTAAATTTTCATGCACTGGGAAAAGGGTTTCTCAAAATTGAGCAAAAATGAGTTAAAATAGCTCCGATAGAGGTATATATAACATTATTATAACAGTTATAACAGTCAATATTATAACAGTCGGTGAACAGCCGACTCAATTTTTTGGGTTTACGACTGCTAATGTTCACTCCATAGCCTCCAATCCAGAACTCTCCTAGATCAAGTATTGGGTAAAATTTGCCTTCGTTGAGCAACTAACCGCATTTGCGTTACACGGAAAGGAAGACCACCAAAACCTCTCATGATTAGCCTGACACCAATAGGACTCTCCGAAGCAAGTATAGTCGAATTTGAAAACCCCGTGTACTCATTATAACGCGAATACTCATTTTTTAAACTAGGCGTTTTACTTGAAACTAGGTATATGCTGTTTTAAGCATCTCACTATACTTAGTAATGGTGGTTTTTAATTTCGACTATGCTTGTTTCGGAGCTATTTTGACACTATTTTGCTCAATTTTGAGAAAACTTTTTTTTTGTACTGTACAAATCTTAAAAGATTTTCTATTAAAATTAAGCTGAAATTTTTACATTACTTAAAGAATGGTGTTGTATGAGGTCATTGCAAAATTCTTGTTCAATCCTGATTGCACAGAAAAAATGGTTTTTATGCGTTGTTGGAAAAAAAAACTGCAGATCAGATGACTACAATTTCGTTTAAGATTGTGCAGCAACTGATTTAATGTTGAAAAATAATCCCTTTTTAGTGCATGTTGCTATAGAAATACCGCCATTACTTCTGACATTAAAAAGAGTTCAAATAATCTGGTAAATTCTGATTTTTAAATTTCAACATGCTTATGTAATACCTAAGCGGGAATCTAAAAAGGTTTCATTAAAGTATTGATTCATAACGTTTAAATTTTATGTTAGTTGCAAAACTTAATAACTTTTTTATTGTGTTTCCAAATTTAAATTCAAAAACAAAGTGAGATATTCTTATTTTGAGCTACTCGTCTATGGTACTATCCAAAAAAAATATACCATAATTTACTGAATGAATATTGAAATTGTTTGAATTAAGTTAGATAAACATACATTTCATTTCACATTTCTGCATGAAACTAACGATTTAATCCCTATAATAAGACTATCAACAACAAAAAATATATCATAATTTAATGAATAAAATATTGAAATTGTTTGAATTAAGTTAGATAAACATACATTTCATTTCACATTTCCGCTTGAAACTAACTTAGAAAGTTAAGATTTAATCCCTGTAATAAGACTGTCCAAAAAAATATTCAATAATTTAATGAATGAAATATTGAAATTGTTTGAATTAAGTTAGATAAACATACATTTCATTTCACATTTCTGCATGAAACTAACGATTTAATCCCTATAAGAAGACTATCAACAACAAAAAATTTATCATAATTTAATGAATAAAATATTGAAATTGTTTGAATTAAGTTAGATAAACATACATTTCATTTCACATTTCTGCATGAAACTAACGATTTAATCCCTATAATAAGACTATCAACAACAAGAAAATATATCATAATTTAATGAATAAAATATTGAAATTGTTTGAATTAAGTTAGATAAACATACATTTCATTTCACATTTCCGCATGAAACTAACTTAGAAAGTTAAAATTTAATCCCTATAATAAGACTATCCAAAAAAATATTTAATAATATAATGAATGAGATATTGAAATTGTTTAAATTAAGTTAAATAAACAAACATTTCATTTCACATTTCTGCATGAAACTAACGATTTAATCCCTATAATAAGACTATCAACAAAAAAAAATATATCATAATTTAATGAATAAAATATTGAAATTGTTTGAATTTAGTTAGATAAACATACATTTCATTTCACATTTCCGCATGAAACTAACTTAGAAAGTTAAGATTTAATCCCTATAATAAGACTATACCAAAAAATATATAATAATTTAATGAATGAAATATTGACATTGTTTGAATTATAAGTTAAATAAATTTCATTTCACATTTCCGCATGAAACTAACTTAGAAAGTTAAGATTCAATCCCTATAATAAGATTATCCAAAAAAAATCTATAATAATTTAATGAATGAAATATTGAAATTGTTTGAATTAAATTAGATGAACATGCATTTCATTTCACATTTCCGCATGAAACTAACTTAGAAAGTTAATATTTAATCCTTCTCATAAAATTGTCGACTGATCCTTCGACACGCCAAATAAATCAGCTTCTAAAATGAGACGAAAACGCGCTTTGCTGATCCTGAAATATGACAACAGAGCGGCATTTCATAAGAACAAAAGTGTTTTCCTTTAACACATCGCGGCGTCTTTGTAGTCCACACCAGGAGCATTAGCGCATGGATCGAACCTATTATCTTGCCAGCATAATTGGAAATTGTGCAAATTATAATCCGTAGATTGCTGGAAGTCTTTATATATGAAAATAACCGCCTCTGTAACTTCCATAGAAGCTACACGGATTATAAATTGTTTTTCTTTATGCCTATTCTAACTGAAACTTAAAGCACGTGTTTTGGCATTATTCGGCGATAATAGTTGGCGCAGATGGAGAGATAATGAAATAGATTAATTGATATTGTTTCATTTATCAGAAAGTTTTTTTTTTTTTCTTCTGTTAGCTTTTGTTGCCAGGTCTTCGTGGTCTGTTCCGTTTAACGCCAAATACATTAGTCCAACTGCTGGAGCGGAAAGATCTTTATTTATTAGTTTCGACAAATTGATCTCCGAAAAGACATACCAAAGACCATCTGTAAATTGATCATGGGTGAATTTAACGAGATTTTTTGTATGGGTATGCCTTATTTAGTTCATACATGTAAGGTTTTCTAATGGAATCTCCACTGTATATT